AATCTATGAACAAGCGGAAGGAATTAAATTGGGAAACTGCTTTTTCTCGCTGCGCTTTTTCTCAGAAAATCGAAGATAAAATCTCCACATACAACAATTGATTCAAAAGAGCGATTGGTAACTTTGTTTAGTGTTATCTGCAGTTTTTTTAAGAACATAATATAATCTACTGCTCTCCGTGTTGGAGGTCTGTAGATGCAAAGTAATATAATATTTAGCGTAGGAAGATGTACTACAGATATTTCAAATACATTTTCAACGGAATACACATTTAATTCCGTCAAGGAAATAGAATCGATATTATTTCGAACGTAAATGCAAGAACCCCCATAAGCACGATCTTTATGTGATTCCTTTTCCCTACAATAATGTCCTGCGAGATAAAAGTTTGGAATTCGGAAACTGCTAAGTTTATTATCAAATAACCATGTTCCGTAAAGCAAAGAACATCGCTGCTTCGAGAAATTCAGATATATTTGTAAGGGACTGAACATAATGGTGCAGTATTTTTACCTTTAGCACGTATCTACACGGATGTTTTTCTACTGCATCTGACTGTAGCTGCTATATATTCACCCCATTTTTACCTCGAGTGCGTGGTCGAAGGTTGTAGTGTGTCCCTGTAGTGACAGGTTGTAAGGAAACTGAGGCATCAGGTGTAGGAGAAACGGGAGAAGGATCAGAGGAGGTAAGCGTGTTCGAAATAAGGGTGGGGAGTGGAGAACGTAAGGAATGTGAAAGGGATGGATTTTTGGCAGGAGACTGCGTAGGATTGGAGTTGATGTGTTGTGCAGCTTGTTGCTGACTATGATTCGTGTAGAGACCATGCCGGGTGAAGTGTTTTGCTGAGAGGAAATTCATTTCAAAAAGTGTAACATTTGTTTCTCTCAGTTGCAGTTTTAATTGTTGTTTTGCCCTCCTATGATAATGACTGTGTCCTGCTTGGTCTGTGTCTTTGTGTGGGTGTCCAACTCTGCAAGTCACGTCTGCAAACCTCCCGTTAAGTTGAAAAATAGATGAGACTGAGTAGTTGGAGGGTAACTTCCTACTGAGAATGGAGGAAAGGCCATGGCTATCGGCTAAAATAAATACTTGTTTTTTAGGCTCAGTAGGAATGTTTTTGATATTGATACCGTAGTTTCGCATTCACAATGGGATATTTTAGATGGCATTTATTCATAGATGTGCAATTTATTTGTGTAATTATTCTTGCTTGTCGGTATGATGAGCTGGATTTTTTTACAATAGTATTCGTTCATATACTATTTCATTATTTTTTTTTTTTCAAAAACTAACGTACGTAGTTGGAAATGCTTTTGAAAGCTAGTTGGTACAAAAATGAAACGTTTTAGCGGGTTTTCTGCTGTACTGCTCTCCAAGGCATCTCGAACTCTAATTTGTTAATTATGAAAAGACTTATGGTGACGGCAAGAAGGGCATTTTAACAAAATTGATAACAAAATGTGTTGGCAGCACCCATCACTATATGCGCGCTTTGACGTCACCGACCATTGACAGATTTGCTGACAGAAATTGCGGTACACTTTTCCTTCACAACCGTTACTAAGGAACGAGAAAGTATGTGGTTTCAGCACAACTTTTTTTTTCTCATTAAACTTTGTCCTCGGTAGTTTGTAAGTCTCGCCGTTTGTCTGGGCGTCTGTGCCCGTGGCTGTCTGCCCGTCTGTCTATGCCTCCCCGGCTGACTGTGCCTGCCTGATTGAGCAACGCAAGCGTCTAAACCAGGATTTTCGCCAAAACTAGTACCACCCAGTGTTAAGTTTTGTTTAAAAAGGGTACAATATTTACAATTATTAAACTTCTTTGAAGGAACACTCTTGTATACTGTTCTTGTTCAGTAGGAAAATTCACTAGCAATTTAATTAATTTACCATCAATTTCCAAAGCACTCTTTACTTTGAATACTATTATTACTCGTCCACTTCATATTTGCAGATCGAGCGCTTAAACTGTTTACATGAAATCACCGCCGGTTGAATGAGAATCGTAGGACTACAGTAAAAAGAGTCGAAATACCTTACTGGAATAATGAAACATTATGTACACACCTTTCCGATTCTTTACCAATTACATGTGGAGACCCGCAGGGTTCGATTTTAGGCCTTATTCTCTTCCTAAATTCGTACATGATGTGCCCTCGAAGATTAGAAACGGAAGAACAGTTCTCTTTGCGGATGATACGAATATTCTTTGCAATAAAGAAACCGTAAATAGCACAGTATCACATATTTCACATTGGTTCCATAATAACAAATTAATAGTAAATAAAAATAAAACGGTTTCAATGCAGTTTTCCATTTCAAATAACAGCTTTGCACTTCATTGAAAATGAACGAAGTGCCATTGACTGACGTTTAGGTAACGAAATTTTTAGGTCTTTCAATTCAGTCAAACCTTAAATGGAACGTCCATTTAAATGAATGGAACCTAAATTAAGTTCTTTGTGCTACGCTTTCAGAATTCTTTCAAATTCAGTTAGCCTCCACACTGTTCGTTGTCTTTATTTCGCGAATGCTCATTCCCGCCTGAGATATGGCACAATATTCTGGGGAAATACATCTTATAGCTTCGAGCGTTTTACATTACAAAAAATAATTGTAAGAATAAGCAAATCCCACCCACGTGATTCTTGTAAGCCTCTCTATTAATCTAGGTATCTTACCAATACCTTTTCTCTTCATATATGAAATGTTTTTTTTGTTAAAAATGACTTAATGGAGGGAATACACAAGGTGCGTGAGAAAAGTAATGAGACTGGTAACACTGCGGGCGATCTGGCAACGTTGTGTCTAACGGCCTGTGCTAGACCGTTTTGTTTATCCCTTCCACATCCTCAGTCCGAGTTACAACTCCGTACAAATAACATTATTTTTGACAGCGCCATCAGTGAAATTGTGTTTTTGTTGTGTGTTAGAGAAATGGAGCATCGGAATTTAGAGCAACGTTGTGCAATAAAGTTTTGTGATAAACTTGGTGAATCCGCGAGTGTGACTTTTGGAAAGTTGAAACAGGCCTGTGGGGAACATTGCTTATCAAGGGCACAAGTTTTTCGCTGGCACAAATCATTTTTGGAAGGTTGAGAACACGTTGAAGATGACCCTCGCTCAGGGAGACCTTCAACTTCAAAAACTGACGAAAACGTTGAACGTGTGAGGACTCTTGTGAGATCAGACCTCCGTTTAACAATAAGGATGATCAGTGAACAGTTAGATTTAAACACTTTCACCGTACATCAAATTTTGGCAGACGATTTGAACATGCGAAAGATTTGTGCCAAAATGGTGCTGAAAAAATTCACAACTGAACAGAAGGACAATCGAAAAAACGTGTGCGCTGATCTTCTTGAGAGGATTGCCAATGACCAAGAATTCTTCAATTGTGTGATCACAGGTGACGAATCGTGGATATTTGAGTACGATCCTGAAACGAAGTGGCAAAGCGAAGAGTGGCACACTCCGTCTTCTCGGCCGAAGAAATGTCGAATGAGCAAATCGAAGATCAAGACCTTGCTGGGTTTTTTTGACAGTAAGGGAATCGTGCACAAAGAATTTGTTCCACCAGGACAAACTGTCAACCAAGTGTTTTATAAAAGTGTCCTTGAAAGGCTCAGGAAAAGTGATTCGTGTGAGACCACACATTGCAGACAAGTGGATGCTTCATCATGACAATGCGCCGTGCCACACGGCCATTTCCATCAGTGAATTTTTTAACTCAAAACTCGTTGTTTTTCAACCCCCATATTCACCTGATTTGAGTCCTTGTGACTTTTTCCTTTTCCCTAAATTGAAACATGTCCTAAAAGGACGTCATTTTGGAATTCTGGAGAACATTCAAAAGACCGTGACCGACCAGTTAAAAACCATTCCAGTTGAAGACTTCCAGGGCTGCTACAAAGAGTGGGAACAACGACTCCGCCGGTGTATAGCTGCCCAAGGGAACTACTTTGAAGAGGATCATATTGCTTTTTGAAAAAAATAAAAAAAATTAGTTAGTATAAAATCAGTCGCATTACTTTTCTAACACACCTTGTATTTTCAGCAAACGCCGTTGCCTATAACTACAACACGACGTAGTAATCATATGCATCAGGTAACAGTATCAACAGCTCACTACAAAATATTCACTAACAATACATGTACATTATTTTACACCTTGCCAGATGACAAACTTTTGTACCGAATTTAATCATTTAAGTCCCTTTTTCTGCTGCACAACTATTTCTTCACAATTAGAGACAATACCGAGCATCCAAAAGGACAGTAATATTAATTTTAACTACAACATTTAGTGTTATTTACCATTTGGATTATATAAATTTAAATTGTAACAAGTATTGTACTTCAACGTCTGAGTCAATAATCCCCATATCAATTAAGGTTTTCGTCCTGTTTCCCTGATCCTTGAGCAAACGCTGAGATGGCTCCTTGTTTTGCTTCTGAACATATATGTAACTTCAATTTAACTTCTCCCCATAGCACGTCATAGAGTTTTTTAAACTGTTTTTGCGTAAATAAATAGACACTGCTCTATTAGATACGATATAGATGCCAGAGAGCGGGATATGACTCCTCTGAGAGAATAGTAGTGTGCAAGAATAAAATCATTCTGCAGTAGATACTCGCAAACGAGAAATAAAAATATTTTCTGGGACTAGTGTACATATTTTTGTGAATAGCTTGTGTTGATATATTTTACTGTAAATTACCGTAATCATGTAACAGCGCGACTCCTACCTCACGATCAGAAAGGCAAATTGTCAGCTGTGTCAGTAGCGCTTGTGGTGCCTTCAGCGACAATAGTTCACTACTCTTACACATTTTTTATACTGCCCGAAAGTACTCTCTCTTACCGAAGTGTATTTTATTTTTCCTCAAACATCACAGAAACAGAAAACAACAAAAAAAGCACTTTTTTTCGGACTGTTTCAGACGGCGTCAGCATTGGATAGATGCTGTTTGACATCGGCACTATTCATGCAGTTACGGTTGTGATCGGGCTCTCATTTTCAAAACAATAGTATTTCCTAATTCTGACGTCTGTAAATGTATAATGAACGAGTAAAACAAACTCTAAACAACTAGAAGCAGCAAAATTGTAATAAATTAAAATATGTAAAAAAACAAAATTGAACACACCGATAATGATGACAAACGTGATACTCTGGCAACTCCACCAGCATCTGAAACAGAAAAATATCAATCTTAGAATAGACGACTGAATTTATTGCCCATGAAATTTGAAATACCATAACCATATTTAAGTATTATATTTACACCATATTTATCAACGCCAGATCAACCAGATCAAAAATCATAACTACAAGAAGTAAAAAATAGATAATTCTTAGCAGGTAATTGGTTACATTCAATTGAAATTTCACAACCATACTGACTGTAATGGAGATCAGTAAGAAAAAAGCTCAGCATAGAGCACAGGCCAAGAAGAAAGCTACAGGTAATGGCTAGAAAAAACAGAATCAATAACTATACATTTTCCCCCCAATGGTTGAAAAGAGATTATCAATAGAAACTCCAATATGTAAGAAAATCACTAGTCTTGATAGAACACGGACTATTAATCGGATCTTAATAGGTGCTTACCACATAACTAGAGAGCAAATCGATAGACGCTATAAAATGGAAAGGAGGCAGGTAAAAAGGCGCGAAAAAATCTCAAAAGTAGGCAAGTAAATACCCATTTAAACTTAGAAAATACACAAGTATATGTATAAGAAAACACTAATCACTGTTGATTTTTGCTTCTTTTACATTTTATTATGGTGAAAATTAAAACAAAAGAATGGAACCAAATGAGATAATTATTCACAGTGGTTAAGTGTTTTAACTATTCACGTAAATCTCACATACATGACAACTCGTTCAAGCCAACCTATTTTAATAGGAAGTACAATATGTCGCGCCCTGTTGGCGCCCGAAGAGTTGGAAGACTGCCCCTGAAATGGCTGGATAGAGTTGAGAAAGAAACTCATGGAAGTGAAAAATTGGAGGAGGATGGCGCAGAAAAGAGGTACGTGGAACGAAATCCTGAAGGAGACCCAAGTTCACTTATGGACTGTTGCGCTCGAAGAAGTAGGAAAAGTAAAATATGTATCTGCTTAAGTCAAGGTGAATGAGTCGAACAAACATCTTGAAACGTATCACATATTGAAATAGAAGTGTATTATTCCACATACCGTTCACGATGTGCTGAAATAAACTGATATCTCCTGTCACTCAAAAAGCGATGAACACAGGAGAGCAATTCCACGCCAAATAACAACCAAAACTTAACAGTCATATTTTTAAGTATTTACCATATTTTGCTTTTTCGCTACCGCTTAGGGAGTAGAGAGAAAGTAAAGTATTGCTGCGGTTAAAAACGATGGATTTTCGGAAGTTAGTCTTATTTTCCGGTCAGTGGAAACGAAAAAGTGGATTAATCCAACTGCTAAATTATGAAACCAGTAGTGCTAAAACAGCACGTACTTTCACGTCTTTCACGCAAAATTACGCGAAAAATACTCACATTTTCAAATCTTTGTGGAACAAATCATTATGGGGAAAATTGTCTACCTATAATAGTTTAGTTCCAGGAAGACTCAGAATAAATTTGAAACTTTCGCAATTTTCGAAAAATCACGGTTTTTCAACGAACATGAGACCTGCACCATTCTTTTAAACGTCCTTCAGCAAGAACACAGTTAATTAAAAAACAATGAGACCATTTTTTAAAAAAAACTGGAAAATGTCTGGGACTATGTATTGTGCCCATAAAAATAAAATATCGGTTTCAAATTTCAGCGGTCCACCAGCCAGAAAGTTTGGTGAAAAACAATTCTGAAGAAAAACGACTGAACTGTTTACGCACTAGCGTTGTGCACAGATGGATGTATATCGTTCCTATGTGTGGGAACAACTCCACAACAACTCATGTCCTATAGGTGGGAGGGGAGCAAGTACCCAGGGTATGCGTCTTGGCCTTAAGGCTTTACTCCGCATCCCCCACCACCGCGGAACTACGGTAACAGGCCGAAATCCGGCGGGAACAGTTTTACTTCCTGATAAACTAACCACTAAGCCCATCCAGCTATCAAGGATAGTACTGGAGTCCACGCCACACACATGCGCCGGGAAACAAAGTCCCTCTTTTTTATAAGATTAATGAGCCACTGCCACGAACCCAACTGGGGGCCACCCGAACAAAGGTGCCAGAGGCCCCAAATCCCCGTCCCATCTCACTGTCTAGACGTGGGGACCAGAAAACCGTTCCGACTCCAATAGAAAAAAAAAAACGTCCCGACTCCAATAGAAGAAAAAAAAAACGTCCCGACTCCAATAGAAAAAACCGTTCCGAACTCCAATAGAAAAAAAAACGTTTTCGCGGACTTCCAATAGAAAAAACGTTCCGACTCCAATAGAAAAAAAACGTTCCGACCTTCCAATAGAAAAAAAACGTTCGACTCCAAATAGAAAAAAAATGCGTTCCGACTCCAAATAGAAAAAACGTTCCGACTCAAATAGAAAAAAAAAAAGTTTCCGACTCCAATAGAAAAAAAAACGTTTCCGACTCCAATAGAAAAAAACGTTCCGACTCCAATAGAAAAAAACGTTTCCGACTCGCAATAAGAAAAAAAACGGTTCCGACTCCCAATAGAAAAAAAAACGTTCGCAACTCCCAATTAGAAAAAAAAAACGTTTCGACTCCAATAGAAAAAAAAAACGTTCCGACTCCAAATAGACAAAAACGTTCCGACTCCAAATAGAAAAAAAAAACAAGTTCCGACTTCGCAATAGAAAAAAAAAACGTTCGCGACTCAATAGAAAAAAAAACTTCCGAAACTCCAATAGAAAAAAAAACGTTCCGACTCCAATAGAAAAAAAAAACGTTTCCGACTCCAATTAGAAAAAAAAACGTTCCGACTCCAATAGAAAAAAAAAACGTTCCGACTCCAATAGAAAAAAAAACGTTCCGACTCAATAGAAAAAAAAAAACGTTCGCGACTGCCAATAGAAAAAAAAAAACGTTCCGACCTCCAATAGAAAAAAAAACGTTCCGACTTCCAATAGAAAAAAAAACGTTCCGACTCCAATAGAAAAAAAAAACGTTCCGACTCCATAGAAAAAAAAACGTTCCGAACTCCAATAGAAAAAAAAAAACGTTCCGACTCCAATAGAAAAAAAAGTTCCGACTCCCAATAGAAAAAAAAACCGTTCCGACTTCCAATAGAAAAAAAAAACGTTCCGACTCCAATAGAAAAAAAAACGTTCCGACTCCCAATAGAAAAAAAAACGTTCCGACTCCAATAGAAAAAAAAAACGTTCGACTCCAATAGAAAAAAAAAACGTTCCGACTCCATAGAAAAAAAAACGTTCCGACTGCCGCAATAGAAAAAAAAACGTTCCGACTCCAATGAAAAAAAAAAAAACGTTCCGACTGTCCACATAGGAAAAAAGAAACGTTCCGACTCCAATATGAAAAAAAAAACGTTCCGGACTACCAATGAAAAAAAAACGTTCCGAACTCCAATCAGAAAAAAAAACGTTCCGACTCTCAAATAGAAAAAAAAACGTTCCGACTTCCAATAAGAAAAAAAAACGTTCCGACTCCAATAGAAAAAAACGTTCCGACTCCAATAGAAAAAAAAACGTTCCGACTCCAATAGAAAAAAAAAACTTCCGACTCCAATAGAAAAAAAAAGCTTCCGACTCCATAGTAAAAAAAAAACGTTTCCGACTCCAATAGTAAAAAAAAACGTTTCGACTCCAATAGAAAAAACAACGTTCCGACTCCAATAGAAAAAAACGTTTCCGACTCAATAGAAAAAAAAACGTTCCGACTCCAATAGAAAAAAAACGTTTCCGGACTGCCCAAATAGAAAAAAAAAGCGTTCCGACTCCATAGAAAATAAAAAACCGTTCGCGATCCAATAGAAAAAAAACGTTCCGACTCCAATAGAAAAAACGTTTCCGACTCCAATAATAGAAAAAACGTTCAATAGAAAACGTCCGAGCTCCAATAGAAAAAACTTCACTCGATAGAAACGTTCCGACTCGCAATAGAAAAAAAAACGTTCGCGACTCCAATAGAAAAAAAAACGTCCGACTCCAATAGAAAAAAAACGTTCCGACTCATAGAAAAAAAAAACGTTTCCGACTCCAATAGAAAAAAAACGTTTCCGACTCGCAAATAGAAAAAAAACGTTCCGATCCAATGAAGAACTTCGAATCAATAGAAAAAAAACGTTCCGAATCCAGAAAAAAGCTTCCGACTCCATAGAAAAAATGCCTCATAAAAATGGACCAAAGGTTACGGATTTTTCAAATATTATTGTGAAACGAGGTTTTTTTAATTAAAGTTTCAAATGTAATTTATTAAAAGTGACAAGATATCACATTTGAAGGAATGTGCCTGTTATGAGAATTCGCTTCTTATCGGTATGCGATAAGAAAGTTTGATCTGGACTGCATAGCAAAAAGGTTCTCAATTTTTGGTATTTAAGATGGCAAGCGCGCCTAGCTATGGAAGCATGCAACTCACTAGCATGGGATGCCAGGCTTCCACAAACTGTATGGATCATTCATTTGAAATTACAGTTCACATTTATATTTTGAACTTCAAAATTAATTTTGTTGTTCTTTAATTTAATTCTGCTGATTGATGTTGATTTTACACGAACAATAATATTGCGTAAAAGGAATTGGTAAGAGTGCCTTCAATTAATAGCAGTTATCAAGGAATGTCTTAATAAATGAACATGGAAAGAAAAGCTCTGTATGACAGATTGAATAAGATTTTCTACATTTTCTATGTGTGATATTAAATATTATGAACTAATCCAATTTTGTTTTAATTGAAATTTATAGATAACGCAGTTGCCCAAATATTTCTATTATTTTGAAATTGTAAGAAATGAACTTTATTATGTTCCAATGAGAGGGTAATAAACTGGAAACGACCAAATTTGATTTTGTTGATTTATAATGAAAACAAAGCGAAACTAACTTCCAATATCAGTTTTTTGATGTTTTTTACGGAATTATTAGTGCCGTAATACATCTGAGTTACAATAAAGAGAGATGGAGAAAATTGCCAACGGAGTAATTGTATCAGACTGTTACGGGACACGAGATATACAGGTACAAAAGTTGTCATAGATGACCACTTGGTAAATAGATTTGT